TAGCTTGCTGAATTCCTATCCGATTCAGTTTTCAACTACCGGTTTCTTTAACTTATTATGACCTTTTCGGCTCGACGCACTACTTTTCCTGGAAATATTTTTCTCGAATTTTCAACTAATCAGAGCAGAAATTTATAGAAATGCATCATCGAATTGCTCTATTTCTTCGCTGCTTTGCTTCTTTAAAAAAGGAAAGGAGCGCATATGGGGGCATTATAGTGGCAATACACTGAAACACCGTAAAACATCGCCTTTTTGGAAATGGACTAAGCTTTAGGCGGGGACGGAGAGAATCCACGACTAGTGAGCGATTGCATTTTCGTCAAAGTTCCTCCCAGGTGTCCAATAGGATGCTCCCTTATCTTGTGATAGTGCTAATGGTAAGGGTGAGTAGACGTCGTGGATTCCTGAATAGCGTATCGAATTCAGCTCTAGGAAGAGGACCGAATCGCATTAGGTAGCCTAGCAGCTTGTTTTCTCTACAAAACAATAGTGGGTCTCAGTTAAGACGTGGATATTATTGGCCAATTTTATTAGATTTTTATGAGAAATGCTCAGGAATATCCCAATACCCCTGTAGCTCAACAATCATTTTTTTTGGAAAAGCAGGTATGAAATCAGGTGTGATGGATGGGGAGAATAGGATGAGTGTAAAGCCTACAAATGCGAATTAACGGACCATAAACGGAAGGTCATTAAGCCCTTTTGCAGAATGATCAGTTTGCAGAATCGGACCAGTCTGTTCTCAAACTTTCCCCTTAAACTTTTGTTTTTTGCCTGAACTTTTTGAACTTGGTCCATTCCCACCGTTAAGTTGCCGAGGAATGGATTTTGGTGGGAACACTTGGTAGACTGGTTAGCCCAGCTGTCTTGATCTCTATATTCCAAATGGCAACTTTTTTCTGACCATATTTTAACCATATTTTGTGGCTAGCCTTACTGACAGGCTTGGTTTCGAAGAACGATTTCCCCACCTACATAGCAGACTTTTCTGAAAGCGTTTTGGAATGTGAGTCACCTTCGAATCTTTCTATGCTGAAAGGGCAATTTTGATACCTTTGTGGCCAACGTAATAAAGTACAGCAAAACCTCCAAAATAGGCCTTTTCAGAACTTTTTGAAGCTTCTTCAAAAGCAGAGACAGATTATGATTTATCGTGCTTTATATAGAGCCATTTTTCAACTACCAGTGATATATTCAAGTCTTTTGTTGAACAAATTGATCTTCGCCGAAGTTTATTGATTCCTTGAACCTATGAAGAAAACTCTTTCGCCACTTATGAAGCCGAAAAACGCGACTCACTAGTAAAACTGCAAGCCGTGAAAGCGTTAAGCGTTCATCGACGTGTTTAAGCACGCATTTTATAGCGCATCAAAGCATAACCAGCAGTTTCCCCGGCAAATATATCCAGCAGCCGCCGCGTGCAATCGCGCTTGGGGCGGTGATTTCCACGTTTTTCTCGTGTCCGGTTGCTTCGAGGCTATCTGGTCGCCCTCCGTATAAGCGCTGCACTCGTTCGTCGTCCGGCCATTACCTTCGGTGAACTTCGGAAAATATTCCAGAAAATGACCACCATCGCCATGGCCGTCGGACTACTTCTGCAGCAATGAGGAGGCTAGCCGTACTCGTTCTACTGCAGCTATCCAGTCGCGATGTCGTCGTTGCAAGCGACGTCCCTAATGGTAAGCTTACAAGAATCAGTAAAAAAACTATTTTTTATTGATTGAAATATTGTTCAACCACCGTTTAATTTTTTTGCTGAGATGCGCCATGCACTCTACTTTCACCCATAATTTTTGCTATATCAGATATCCCTTTTTACCTACTCAATTGTTCCTGAGGAGGCGAGAAACTACATAGAAAATAGTTCTCTTTTGCCGATTTTGTTCTTTTGAACTCACGTTCCACTATCGTTTCTTCCTTCTCCAATCCTTGTGATGCTTTTCTCCGCTTATTCTTCATTGATCATTTATACCTATCATTATGACTACTTATTATTAGTACTATTATAAAAAATTATTTTTGATTTACCGAGAGCCTAGACGTTCCTCCATGCTCCTAAAGGTCCCTTCTCACCCCAGTGACACCTCTTCTTGCCTTTCCTAGTTTTGAATTTGAAATTTCGCTTCTCTTTGAGTTTCCTAGTATACTTAAATAAGGCTAATCACCTTGAAGGAAGAAGGCATTTCTCATGCTGATGACTTTTCATTCTGGTATGTCTTTGTGCACCGAGAATACCACAGGTATCGAGCGGAGCGTGACAACGAAATGTTGCTCTGATTTCGCTGTAGCCATAGCGATTTCGTTGAGTTTTGAGGGTTGAAAAAACCTCCTAGGACGTTTTTCCCGTTTTAAATGGTTACGCTTCCCTTCCCTTCAAAGCCATCAATATGTGTTTTTACACGATTGCATAGAATCCGTTTTTGTCCCGCATTAGTAAAGGGTGTAAGCCGAAAAGACCTTATTCGTAACTAATAGGATGTAAAAATGGTAAAATCGTCAAAATCGGTCAGAAAATCAACAATAAGTCAACAATGCGTAGCGGTCACTGTGCACTATTCTACTACGAAGGCGGCCAAAGGTGATCGCTAAACACTTTTCCTTCTTCCAGCCTATAAGTTTTGGATTTTTGACCCTCTCAAAACTTATTGGAGGACCTAATGTATGTAATAGTACAATATGTATGTATGTGTATGTATAATGGTAGTACAGTAACAGTACATATGACAGTGTAATAATAACTATTTGAAAGAGTACGGTAACTCTACTAGGCCCTTCCATCTAAGCAAGCTGTGGTTATACCTATAATGTAACGCAGTTGCTTAGCTCTCCCGTTTGCAGAAGGCCAGTCTTGATTTGATAAGTCTCTGGAAACCTCGTTCTGCATTGATTTGTTCTTGCTTGCCCATCTGCTTTATGCTTCCGCTCAACAACATGTTCCTGAACTCTCAAACAAATGGAGGATAAAAGAGTAAAGCTTCCAAGTGTGATCTACACCTTTCGGAGTGCGCCATGCAGTCTACCTTCACTGAGAGTCGCAGTGTCAATTAAATATATTTGGTATAGAATGGGATGTGAGATGTAATTAATGTATGGGTCAATTTTCAAATCCTAACCTATAACTTTAGTACCATTTGACCAAAAAAGAGTAGCCTGGATTGCTCAGAAACAGAAGTGGGATTTGATGCCGAAACTAGATATGCGATTGGTGATCGACTCCTCTTATGAACTATCACCTCCCCTACACCTAACAATCAAACCGAAATCAAATAGACAGTAAAATCACGGCATACCAATTCCCGTCGGTCGCAACGTTGACTGTGTTCTTTCAAAATGCCAGCGCTGTTTTTGAGTAAGTTTTTGGGATACATCGGCGTGACATTCCGCCTTTCCTGACGACCTTGGTCTCGTTCGCAGGAAAAAAGATGGCCTCGAATAAGAACTCTAGCACGCTTACGCTCTCAGCAAAACTACATTTTCAAGAAGGCAACAATCAAAAGCACCACCTACCAAAGAGGAATCGATTTCAACTTTTTCTTCGTCCAGATAATCCTTCATAGATGGCTTAACAATGCGTTTTCTATGTGGAATTATTAGTTAGTTTTTCTCCACCATTATCGCTTATTAGTACTACATACTTCGATTAGGAGATTTTCTTTTCAATATTTTTTTATCATAAATATTTTTTATTTATGTATTTTTTCAAGTTATCAGGCCGCAGTTCGAGCTTCGGCATATTCTTCAAAGTGTCTTCTAACCATCGATCAGACGGCACACTTTTTGCTTTTGCCGCAATTTATGTAAATTCAGAGTCATAGCGAAAAATCAATTTGTGTAATCACTGGATTTTTTTCGAATTTCTACCAGTATTTTTTACAGTGTCTATCTGTCAAAATATTGATGAGTTTTCCATGTTGCGGCCTTTCAATGAATCTTTGGCATGAGTCGATAGAGAATATGTCAGCTATAGTGAATAAGCTCCACCAGGGTTAGTTCAAAAAGGGCTTTCCTCTTTCGGTCTGGAGAGGCGAAGGCGCGAAACGTAAGCAAATAAAGTTGTTTCAATGGCTTGGTGAAGCTGATTCCTATACTGACTAATGGGTGGCTTGAGTTTTTGATTGGATAATCATCAATTACTCTAGAATCAGCAGACTTTGCTGCATTTCAAGCCATAGCCGTTTTGTCGAATTTCGAGAAAAAAGAGTTCCAAAAAGTTCTTCGCTCGAAATCACGGGTAATGCTACTTCTGCTATAAAGCAGAAATCACGTGTTAAGTAAAGTGGTAAAAAAAATTTAGTTTCACATAGTGTACGAAAATGTAGTTGTTCAGCTGAAATATTTGCATCTATTTGTGAAACACCATTTCACTAAAGTGAGTACTTCAGCATGCAATTTGTTACTGACCGAACATTACTTTTGAAAATGTATATTTATGGTTGACGACTCGTTAGCAAGCCGTCAGTTGCCTAACCAATTTTGTTGAAGTTAAAATATATACTTGAAAGCGGTGCCCTAGCCTTTCTGATATTATAGTATAGAAGAGCTTGATAAGTGCTAAGGTAGTATTGAGCAATAGCCATAAATTTGTAACTATTACAAATCGTTAGATTCACTCTACTACTGGATGAACTGTCCCACCTTTCCCATTCTACGAATTTTTTTATAATTTTTGCACTTCTCATTTATGCATCGAGATAATTTTTCGAGTAACCCTCTAATGATGACATTGAAAAACTGAACTCGAATCGATTCATTTTTTATTAATTCAAAGAAAAAGCACCATGATTAATCTCTTCCTAAGATGTGCCGCGCATCCTACTTTTATTCAGAATTTCATCCATTTGTTGTTAAATCCTTTTATTTCGGCATTTTTACTTGTCCTTTTGGGTGTCTTATTAATGGTTAGTCTCTATTCACCTTCTATCTCATACATAGTGTAAGATGTTGGCGAAACCAGCAAAATCTGTCACTGACTGATGTAAATGCTTCCGAATCATCATTACATGTAATAATTCTTCATCATTTGTTAGTTCATTTCTAAAATTTCGAATTGGTAGAATTTTCCAAAAAGTTCATTAAGACGTTATTACCATTAATATTTATTGAAGTTGCGCGTAATGTTGCGCGTAAGCATAAAAGAGAATCGAACTGGTGTAGTAAAGGTTCATTTATTTATTTATTTATCAATGTGTTTATTTGTATAATGAGTTAATTATTTGCTGTGCGATGACAGACGAGCTTTCGTAACAGTAATAGGTTCACGATGGGGTAAGTACCGTGACATTTTACCTTTTTTAGGCATCATAAATGTCAATTTGGAGTCTTACAGCAGTTCTGCTACCACGGCCGTAGTGACCTATGTGCAATTTCTACTTTATGTACTTTAATATTGTATAACACAGAGAGGCATATTGTCCAATGTCACGCAATTTTTCATATCACATGCAATGACCGTCACAGTACGTCCGCTACTATTTAAGCAGGGGGTGAGGGGTAAGTCATTCTTTTCACTCCAACGGCGCGGCTCCCGTAAGGGCAGCTTTACACTTGGCAGTGGCAAACACATGTGGGTATCAATATGGGTTGGGAAACCACCAAATTATTTATACAACTATAATCAATGTATTTCAGGCCTGAAGAAGGTGTTAAACACCGAAATATCGCGGAAGATTTCAAAAGGATTCTTTTTCAAATAGCTTTTTGCTCTTTTGAAACTTTTGAGTTTTTGGAATTTTTGAACTTTCTGAACTTTTGGAATTCTTTTGAAATAAAATTTTGGTGCCTCTCTGTTATACATGTGTTGGTGCGCAATT